GTATAAATGTATGTATGTATAGAATATATATATATATATATAAGAGTATGCATATAATATATATATAGATATATGTATATATATATATATATACATTTATATATATCTATATGATCTATATATATATATAATATGTATATATATACAGACACGCACACACATATATATAAATGTGTGTTATGTGCGTATTCAGTATTTGTACTAATACATATTAATATTTATATAAATATATTAATAGAATATGTATGTAAACACACACACATACATTCATATGAATATGTATGTAAACACACACACATACATTCATATAAATATATATAGATTTGTATATTTATATAAACATCACATGAAGACTAGTTTGAGGGTATCTATACATGGTTGCTGGCGCATTTAACCAGGTTTCAGACTTTTGACTATCCCTAAACTTGATATACTGACTTCGAACAGGATTATCACAAATTGGCACCTGGTGCTTTGTCTATTGACTACATTTTTATTGCGATACACCTTTGTGACAAATTTTGCTTAACCCCAGCGCCTTTTCGTAAGTTCACTGAGACAGCTTGAGTCTTGGACGTGTACCTTTCGACGAAGTGACGGATCAAACATTGATTTTGGCCTGGGAAGAGCTCGAGGTTTGAGCCTTTTCACATCAGCAGAGTCTGGGCAATCTACCAATTCTTCGGCTAACTCCAGCGATTTCAACTGGATAACAAGGTCTGCATTCCTGTCCATTTCTACTTTTAGTAGCATAGGCCTTTCCTGGAGATCGCGCTGGTCCACCACCCGGGTATCATGAGTGAGGCTCACTGATCGTGGTCTTGGGCGAGCACCAGGTGTGACTCTCTTACTGGCTTCAGCGGTTGCATGTCCCTCTGACTTCTGAGAGATATATCTAACTGAAGCTCTGCTTGCACGGTGTGTCTCAGAAGCATTCTCATTCACCACGATGTCGGTAGTAGCTGTTTGGCAAGCGACCGGCCCTTTCTCAACCTGAGATGGTCGCCTTGCAGGTACCAAATCAAATATTGGCCGCTCTCGAGCTATTTTTCGGGTGCCAACAGGCGCGACTGATTTAACAGGGTGGGCATCAATTTGCGATGTCATGTGCAACCTACTAGGTACTGTGGACCTACGTAAATGACATACAATCGATGGCGACTCTTCGGAGGCCAAATCACTTATCCTGTCGTCCAGGGAATCAGTTTCACTTCTACGACCAAAAGAACTGTTTCCGCACCTATCTGAAGCTTTGACAGGCAATTTATCGGCGAACACATGTTGTTCTTCTTTGTATCGGTTGTTTTGTGAACGTAAGACCGTCTTCCTCTTTGCGCGAGATACCGGTAAATTCTCTTCGCGGCTCGATCTCGGTGTGTACAAGGCAGTAATCGTCGATGGCACATCAAATACGCCCTCAGGCACATCCGGGTTAAGAAAGTCTCGCGTGAATGATGCCATGCTTTCATCACCGAGCGGTGGAACTGCGTATTGTGATTTGGGCTTTAGGCACGAACGCCGTGCCGGTATGACCACATTCATGATTTGGTTATCCACCGCATTGCTGAAGCTCGATCCCTTTGAGTTTGAACTCGATAATATTCTCATTAATTTGCTTTCACACATACGTATTCGCAGACTTCTGTGTTTCCGTTCTGGTTCAAGCTGTATATTCTGGATTGAGTCCCTCATGATGTATTATTCTCCGAATCGCAATCGGGTATCCTACTTATTTATTCCAACTAGCACATAAGCACAACATGCGATATAGTTTCTTGTTGATAATGATACTTCAGCGACAGGCTGTAGCAGAATATATACAGGAAAATTATAGCGAGTTCGTTTTTTTGACTAAATTAAAAAAAAATGTTAAAAAGCATAGTCTCCTATAGAAAAAGTTAAAAATGTTCTTTCTTCTCATTCTGAAAGGACGCTATGGTTTGTAGATAAAAACGATATATACCTTTTTATTTCCTAAGAATAGCCACCAGATTGAATAAAAGTTCCAACGTCCAGTATATTTACTCGGAATAAAAAATTCCGTTTGAAAAGAAGATTCATTGAATTCGAGAGTATTTTGTAAATAAAAAAAGAAACAATAAAACAAATATACATATTGTTTTATTCAACATATTTGCATAGCTCTTCTAAATTGAGAGAAGAGAAGAAATATAATAAAATTGCTGCATAATTTACAAACAGACAACCTTTCCAAGTTTCGATAGCCTTCTAAATTCGAAACTTTCTTTTGTTCTTTTTGGTTTTTTTTGGAGTAATACAAAATAACAAACATGGAGGGGAAATTTGTACATACTTTGTATTCCTTGAAAAATCAAATCAAATTGAGTTTTTGGACAATGGACATCAAAAATCAGATAAATATATGGTTCAAATTGGAATCTTGGATCTATTCGACAACTCCATAGGTATACAAAACTGAGGCTCAAAATACATATTTTGACCTGATTTTCTCACTGATATACACAAAATTTACAAAATGGGTGATCTTGTAATGCCTAGATTTTGATATATTGATGTCGAAAATCAGGGTTTAGAAATATAAAATGACGCCAGTTCAACACAACAAAAAATATCGACTAAATACATACATTCTGTACATTGCCTTCAAAATGTTGTGAATTTGTGACTCCTGAGTCCTGACTCCTGACTTCTGAGTCTCCGGATGAGTCCTAAGTCCTGACTGCTGGAATTGTCGGAGTCGGCGAACATTTGACAGACCCGTAGGACGTAGGAGTCAGGAACTCAGGACTCAGCAGGACAGGTCTGTGAGGAGTGAGAACTGAGAACTGAGAACTGAGGACGCCAGGGGATTTTCTTTGGTTTTTTAAAAAACACTTTCAAAAAAACAATTCCAACGAAAGCGCAATTCGGGAGGCCCTAAAAGCGCCCTAAAAGATGATGAGAGTGGAGCCAGTGAGAATAACAGTGATGTGTGCAAAGTCAAACCTGCATAGAGTAAAATTCGCTCTTAGTAAGCTACTACTAGCATACTCTCTGCCCTGGCTGGGTGAAAATAAGTAAATAGTTAACTGAACACTATTCAAGAGAATTTCTATTGCTTACCATAAGAGGAGTTTTTAAATTCCTATTGAAATAAAATGGAGTGTCCTTATTAGTTTATAACTGCTTCGGAGAAAACGAAGGAAACGGAGCACTTGTTTTTCTAAAAACAAACTCGAGGTTTCTTTAAAAACAAGACCAGCGGCTGGGTCTGGCAGTGGGGCTATAGATAAAGCGCCAGCGACTCAAATTGACCTTGTATGGGGTTTTTTTGTTGGTTTTTCTAAAAAAGCAGAACTATAAAAGAAAAAGCTGGGACTTGACCTGAGTTGGCCACTTGTTGGGAGTTGGGACATTCACGATAATTCTTGATATGAGTCATATGACACACTGCGCTCCGCTGCCCGTACGCTACATATAGAGATTAGAGAGAGAGACTGAGAGTCACTGAGAGAGAGAGAGCCTTCAGCCTCTATATTTTCTCTACTTCTACTTAGAGTAGAGAAAGTGACGCGAGAAAAGTCTACTCTCAAAAATAGTAAGGAGCGCTCTGGTGCAGTTGCTTTTTTTAAGATATTACAGAAAATATTAAATAAATAAATTGAAACTTCATTTTCTATGTGAAAAATTCTTAATCCAAAATCGGCATTCGTCACGGGATATATAATTGTGTGTAGAAGCCAAAACCGTCTTAAAAAATCGTCGGTCATTGTTTTTTAAATTTTTGGGACCGGCCAATATCGTGGCCTCAGCGGTCATTCTGGGACTCAGCGCCATTCTGGGCCTCCATGGCCATTTGGGGCTGTGACTTTGTGGTGTAGAATATATGATAAACAAATAAATTACACCTCGTGCAGACATAGTCGACAGTTTACATATATATCTCCTAGTCAGTGCAACCCACGCAACGATGCCGGTCCCACCAAAGAGAGCGAAAAATCTGACAGGCGGCAGGGGTGAAAGGCACACTCTCTACGCGGTTCAGATAACAGATTTACAACAGTAGCAAAGCACCAAGATTATACATCTGAATCGAGCGACTACGATAGCGATGGTGACGCATACAGAGAACATGGAAACATAAATATAACATTTGATAAGAACCTTGTGACACCTCTAGGGTTCAGCACTCGCAGGCCGTTACCTGTTTTTTTTTAAAAGGACTACAATAAATACACCTTCCAACAGGATGGGACACCAATTTCGAAAATCTGACGATAGCACGAGTCTTAGAAATGGGCTGGCTTGCTGATTTCTGCCCTCAAAAGTCCAAAATTCGTACTGCAAGGTGGGCTCCACCACAAACGGCCAAATTTCAAGATTTTGCCAAAACTTGATTTTAAACTAAGTACAAATCCAAAAATGTGTCCGGGTGATTTTCTCAATCAGGTCAATGTGAGCATTTACCGCTATCAAACGTCCGAATCGGGTCACTATTAGTATGTGCTGTGCCTGGCTGAAGTAGGGGTGGTTTCCTGTATTTATCATTTTTAAAAAGCGATTGCACCATAGTAAAGGGCTCAGGCCTGAGAGTCTGAGACTTCGAGACTTGCGAGACCTACCTCAACAGGCTCAACCTCTGGTTGTGATCTTTTGAGTCATTTATATTTATACAAAGAGTTGAGACTTGAGAGTTTGACTCTAAGCTCATAACGTTATAGGGTTATGGGATAGAAGTTGAAAGTAAACGCATATATATTCAATTTTAAAACGTTATAACGTCTATAATGTGAACGGCCTATCTAAGTTCTTTTATAGGACTAGTTAATATTGTGAACGTGGTACACACTTAAATATTTAGACCCGCAAGTTGCACCTATGAGCATACAAAGGACCATATATGAAATAAAAGTTGAACGTAAACGCACATTAATTCGATTTATATGTTTTAACGGAAAATGGTTTGAGGATAGGTTTGACTTCATAAATCTTGAGACTTTGAGTTTGAGAAATGATACATGAGAGCCCCGGGCCCCTGGCCCCTGAGACCTGGGTGAGTCCCCTGTCTCATGTTGAGAGTCTGAGAGTAAACGAGTAATTATGCTACTGATTGCTCATCACTGAGCATCAGTTATTAGGTAGCTCGTGCAGCTTTGGTGGAGCACTGGAGGTTGTGGAGCAGGAGTATATAGTAGGGCGAGTGGGCGACAGGATTCCAAATTCCAAATGCAATAATGCATGTACAAAAGTAAAACGACCCAACGGCCGACGCACAGTTCAAATTTTATACTAGTGTAAAGTATGGCTGTTAGCTCACAATCAAATATAAGAGAGTGTTGCTCAAGATTCGACTTGTAGATTATTTTATTCAATAGAATTGTCAATCGTGGGAACGTGAAGTAACTCGAAGCCAATGACATCCCTGATGTTTTGATAAAAAGTAGATTTGTTTTTGCGGTAATGTACAGGTAGGCCGGAGGATCCAAGAAGTATAAGGAAGTTCCGATGAAATATGAACCCCAGTCCCTCTACTCTAGAGTAGTAGAGGTCGCCAGTCCCCAGTCCCCAGGGCCCAATACAACTATGTTATGGCTCTTTATACATAGTCTCCTGAAAATTAAACATTCAGAAGGCTATGCTTTATATTTAAAAATAGATATATATATAATTGCTTTCTTTTTATTGTTTACATAATTTCGTTTTATTGTATAAATGTTTTAAAGTGTATGTGTGCTTGGAAATTCTGGAGCTTTTTCACAAAAAGCAATGGAATGTTCCCAATTCCCTCACCCTGCCCCCAGTGGGCCGCGGCCGCGGTCTATTTGTTTTGTTCTGTTTTATTTTGTTTTGTTTTTTTTAAAAACAAACAAAAATAAATATACAGAAAACCTAAACTGGTTTTCCACCGTTCGTTTTTAGTTTTTTATGCCAGACCTCTGAAAAATCATGTTTTTCACGGCCCCTCTGGATTAAAATAGATTAATTAGGGTCTCGCTAAATAACCTCTTTTTAAAGGTGTGGACATTAAAAGAGGTAGACAGGCCCTGGGGCAGGTACACCCTCTATACGCTCAGGCGCTGATGATGAACCCAGACCCAAACCTCAATTTTTATTACATATATGGTCCTGTGAATTTTCATGAAGGTGCTATTTCTAGGTCCGCAGATTTGTCTCATATGTACACGCCGAATTTGACCCGCCAAAAATCGGTGGGATCGAAAGGCCTTGAGGAAGAGAGGTCAGTCGAGTCGTTGGGATCGGGTGTCGTAGCAAATACACCGCTCCAAAAGTCCCGGATTGTGAAACGACATTTTGGCTAAACAATATTTTTTTCTCGAAGGTCCGCACCAAAAGTATAGCCAAATATTATTGATCTATAGGTTGCGCAGAGGCCAAAACTGTTCTCAAAATCTGTTTTGTGACCCCAGGGCCCAGAGCCCCAGACCCCAGTATGTGGTCCCTGGGAACGACCTGATTCTTACTGTTGTGCACCATTTATTAACCACCTGTTATGCCATTTCGTCGGTCAAAATATGACGCGTTGTTGTGCAGAGGATTGAAGTGGTGAAATTAGTGCATAAAATACAGGACGTCGTGTCCCGCACTGACGGAGAGATGTCTCTGGATAAAGCGTTTGGGAAGATGCAACAAAGGAACAACGCAACAACAAGAATATCGAAATAAATAGTATTTTGTCTGAGTGTTGAATTTAGGAGGTTACGCGAGGGAGTTTTGTATAACGTGCCGCCGCGTTTCCCGCTGCTGGACAATTTATAGCAGTGCATACTGACACTATAAAAAAAATAGCCGGTGTGAGGATACACATCGATCGAGTTAACCGCAGGGCTAAGATATTTCTAACGCTTGCCCAGGAGGTCCGCTTAGTGAACCTACAATTTTTCTGTAGTGCAGTCAAGAAAAACGTTAGCATGACTGAAATAATTAGTGTTGTAGAACGGAGAGATAGCTTAAAACATACATTTTCTTGATTGACATTTATAGCCATTGAGTGCCATAGTTAGGAGGCAATAACCGATGAAGCACAAGT